TACATGCATACGTACTACTGAGGGGTAATTTATAATAAAAAATTAACAACATTACCACTTGAACTATATTATTTATGTAACGGTTTTTTTTTTAGTTTGTGTAAAGTACAGTTTTTTATGGAACGTACATGCACACTTGCGCCTTTTTTTTACCTTTTTTTAAAAAGGTAATTTTGTTAAGATAATGTTTACACATCAAGTGGCCTGTTTTATATTTTTATACACTTTTCATTTAAAAGTAACTTATTAAAGTATTAAAGTAACTATACAGTGAAATGTCGACACATAATACAGTGTTAATGAAACTATAGATAAATAAGTCGGTAAATGACAGCAATAAACGAGTGCCATCTACTGTCGAAAATATGAAAAGGAGATGACTTTTTGAGGCGACGTATCTTACATAAAATTTTTACATTTCGGATTTCGCATCACGATATCTCCGTTCGTGGGACATGTAAAGGTAAAATAAACGTTTATTATATAATTCGGACCAAAACTATCGATGGAGCTCATATTCAGAACTCGATCGGTCTAGCCTTCATTAAAAAAACCGAGAATTTCGGTTGCTCGGATGCCCGCAACTCGCTGACTCGCGTAAAGACACGCGTGTCTCGCGCTTCGCGCCCACTTGGCGCGAGACGCTACCGTGTCTCTTGATTTCTTATAATGTTTAAGAGAAATCAAAATTATTTTTTTTTCAGAATTATTTTAAATCCACTTTGTGAAATATTAGTAATAAATAAAAAAATCCTTAATTATACTATATAAATTATATTTATATTCGATTCTACAATTGAATATTATAAATTATAAAAAAAAACGCATACAATTGTAGAATTCTGTTAATATTTATGAACTAAGAAAGATAAAATTATTTAAAGAAATTCATTCTACAGTCGAGAAAAACGTATGTAATAAGAGTTTATTATACTTTCAACGATAATTCAAGATATGTAGGGTAAAGTCGCCTATTATGGGATAGGTTCCTAATATGAGATAGCGGGATTTCTGCTAAACTAACAAACGCATGTGTTGATTCTATCAAACTTTTTACTCATAGCGTGAAACTTGTTTAATAGGAAATTCATTATTAAATCATGCGTGTAGTTGTTACAAAAAAAGATTTATGAAATTGAATGTAAAATTTTATTGAGGTTAGTCTTTAAAGCTTGTTTTATTATACAAAAATAAATATTGGGTAATAAAATCTGTATGCAGTGATAGAGTAAGATCGTATTCATAGGAACACACGTGATATAATGATTTGTTTAACTGTAAAGATTAGATTTGGTGATCGTGAAAGGCATGAAAATTTTAATATGAGATACTCAGGATATTCCTAACTAATATGAGAGCATCTAAACAATTCAATGTCTCAAAGCATACTATCGAAAGAAATGTTAAAAATGACGATTCTATTGTTAAGATTACTCACACATACATACATACATACATACTCACATACACATACATCGAAAAATTATATAATTATTATGATATATTTATAACATTTAATTAACATTTAATTAACATTTAAATTCTTTGTTCCTACTTGTATGTAATATACTAAAAGCTAGTATAATAAATATATATAAGAAGCTTATCTTTATTTTTTCCTTAGTTTCCCGTTATGAAATACCATCTCAAGAAAACCCTTATATCTTATATTAAGAATCCTATTTTTGAATGATCAAAATCTGCATCTTTTGATAAAAAATTTCACAACAAAGTATAGCTATTATCGACTGCTAACTTTTGGCGATAAAACTTAAATGTATTTCCCATAAATTTGACGTGAAACTAGAAGTTCAGGTTATAAATTAAATAAATTACAAGCCTTTATAAAAAAATATCTCATAATAGGCGACTTTACCCTAAGTAATATTTAAAATCTGCTTAAGATATAAATCTTTTACGTTTCTAAATTTTTTTAATAAATTCAATATTTTCTTGTCGTAGATATATATTGATTATATTATAATAAAATTTTATACATATACATTAACTATAATTATATGGTATATAATTATGTATAATTATAGATATATTTTTCATTTATTTGAGCATACATCTCTTTCTCAATTACCGCTTATCAAGTTATACATATAATAATTTAAAATATTAATTATTATGATGCATGAAAATAAAATGGATATTTAACGTGTATTAATATGTTAATTGCGACAATTAAAACGTTACATCGAAAACATCACAAATTTTATTAAATTCTTACATGCTTACAACTCGCATATTAATTCTAGGAAATAGCTAAACAAATGACACGCGTAGCATAAAAAAATGATTATCGATAATTACGTATTAATTGCGACAATCACATAACAATTCGCGGATTCGGACGAACATCATATACGTCACGATTGATTCTGATGACATCTCTCTTTAGCTTCCTCTTTTTGTTATTCTCTCTCTTTCTCTTTCTCTGTTTCTCTTTTTGTCTTTCTCTCTTTCCTTTTCTCTCTACATCTTTGCAATTCTCTCTTCCGTTTTCGTACTCTCGCGCAGAACAAGTCCGACGAGTTTTTATCCCCGTTGTTTCCAACACTCCAGAGACGCCTGCCATCGTGAGAATAAAGACAAAGAGAGATGTTGCTGGTGCCAATCGTGAACGCTGTTATTCTCTGATTTTATAAAAATATATAAGGGCGTAAGCACGCTCATAATTAATTTGATCGTTGAGTATTATTCTTACGAATGGCATAGTTAAGATCGCATTTATCCTTCGAAATCTGAAGTGATTTTAACTTTTAATTAACATAAGACGAATTTTTTTGTTTTAATTAATATTATATAAAAAGGTATTATAAAAGAAAAAAATAAGAAATAAGTAGATAAATTATTAAAGTCTATTAACACCGGGTTATTTTAATCAGGATCTTTAAATTTATTTAATCATATTTACAATAGGACTTTTATAATATCTTTATTATTAGATATTTTATTGGCATTTTATGTAAATCACAGATCCAGAGTTCAAAGGAGACGATCTACATGCAGCTAATATATTATATATAATTTAAGTATTAATACACATACAATTGTATAATGCGCTTATAAACATAAAAAGAGTATTAAGTTAAGATTTATTTTGAGTGTCTATATATATTGTATATATATATATATATATATTAAAATCATTCTGATTACAGAATGTCTTGGATATGAATATAAAAATGATTTAGTCTAAGGCAGATATGTCATTAATTAACTGAAAACGGGCTTGTCTATAAATTATATTTCTATGAGCCAAAAAACTTTTTGTCTTAAGTTCTGATGTCGTAATTTTCATCTTACACATTTCATTACATCGAGCGAAACAATATTCGATCTGCCTTCAACACGATTTGCAATATAAATATAAATAAATAGTTGTCCTTACACGTTTTCTAATAAATGCTCAAGACTGTGTTTATCTATTTTTAAAATTATACTTATTTTCGACATCAAATCTCCTATTTATAATGACAATTTCTAACAATACGTTCAAATTTATAACTCGTGATTATCAATTTAAACGTATTTATTAATAGACAGTTTTATGATATGCATACTTCTAATTTTTCAATAATTAATCTCTAATTCTCGTCGCAAAATTAAACAATATAATATTCCGCGTAAGTAAGTTTGTTCGTGGAACATCGAAATATAAATCGGAGTATTATATCGCTATTATGGCCAAGAAGACTTTCGAGTTTCCTCGTCGATTCCTTTCGTTATATCACAATGTTTAATTAAAAATCAGCATATCCCTGGTATCGGCTGAAGCTGATGCTTGACTTGACGCTGAACTTTTCGGTCCTATTTCACCGTAAGATCCTGAAGACGCACTGCTGGACGCGTCGGCTTTTGCGGATCCTGATCCGTTAACGAGAGCTGACGATTTGCTATTTGCTGATGCCGATCCACCGCCGGACGCAATTGCATTAGAAGACGCCTGTGCGTGGGCGTTTGAGCCTGCGGGATAGCGAATCATTTAATTATGATCTGTCCTGACGCCACAGCCTCCGCCATAGACAACGCTGATGCCTTGGCCTCGGGGCTTAGGTCTGTGGAAAAATGAACACGAAAAGCTCTGTTATGAATCCCCGATGGATAAACAAATATTTCCATAAATTATATGTAGAGCTTTTATACATCCATATGTAGAGCTTTTGACTGGGTTATCCATCGGAGTGCAGAATGAGTCTTTCATCATTTTTCCACCCAACGGCGTTTTCGTAATTCATGAACGAAAGTGTTAGAAACATGCGTGACAATGTGATACTTGGTATTCTGTGATTTAGGGACTTTGATTTGCATTGACGCTGAAGGATCGATTTTCGTGAATTCTGATTGTTAATCCATATATATATATCATGATATAAGACTGAATAATTTTTCATCTCTTATGTAACACGCGAGATAAATTATGCGTTAGAAATTGTTAAGACAGAGGCGTTGTTTGTTCAATGATCATTTGATGAATATTTACATACATGCAATAAAACGTTACGTGTCAAAGATAAACGTCAACAAGGCATTACATAATGACGATAATAATTAAAGGAAGTTGTGCTTATTTTTAATAAAATAGTAACTACGTTAAAAAACAATTTTAAAAATTACGTGTTTATGCAGTTAATTTTCCGAATTTTAGGATTTACCATTAATTTTTAAAGAAATTGTTTATTTAGTTTATTATACAGGACACTACACGCAACACAGATTTATATCTAAAACACATATGTACCTCCTCCGACTGATCCGTCGAATCCGCCTTGATTACCGAATCCGCTTTGACCACCATGTCCTCCGGCCTGTCCTGTTCCTTTAACATCGTTTCCGTATCCACCAGAGCCACCGAAACTTCCAGCGTTAGCATTGGCGTTACTATTGGCATTAGCACCAGAAGAATCACCGCCATATCCACCAAGACCGAAAGAGCCACATTGTGCACATCCACCGCTACCGTGGCCACTGAGCGAGCCTTCGCCATATCCTCCGTGACTTCCAGATCCTCCGGGGATAGTTCCATGAATAGTTCCGGCGGTTCCGGCATTGGCATTAGCGTTGGCGTTAGCGTTGGCTCCGGAAGAACCTCCAGCATGTCCACCGTGAATATTTGCACCATTGGTTCCAAATCCACTGCTTTGACCACCGAAAGAGCCTCCACCGTATCCGGAGGATCCACCGCTACCGTGGCCACTGAGTGAGCCTTCGCCATATCCTCCGTGACTTCCAGATCCTCCGGGGATAGTTCCATGAATAGTTCCGGCGGTTCCGACATTGGCATTGGCATTAGCGTTGGCGTTAGCGTTGGCTCCGGAAGAACCTCCAGCATGTCCACCGTGAATATTTGCACCATCGGTTCCAAATCCACTGCCTTGACCACCGAAAGAGCCCCCACCGTATCCGGAGGATCCCCCGTGACCTCCGGACTCTCCGAAAATGGGTCCATGTCCATCAGATCCTCCAGTGTTAGTGGCTCCAGTGTTAGCATTAGCATTAGAGTTAGCACCAGATAAACCACCGACTTGTCCTCCAAATCCATCGAAGTTTGGACTAGATCCGTGATCTTCGTAACCACCAAGAACTCCTGAAGATCCGCCACCATGTCCACCAGAGTTAACTATTGGGTTTTGTTTGATCGGACCTCCTCCAACACCACCAGCTCCAGCGCCGACATTGGCGTTGGCGCCAGCATTGGCTCCCGCCGATCCGAATGAGCCAGGGAATCCTCCGGATGATTGTCCCGGATAAGTGGTAGAAATGCTCCCCCCTTTGGGTTTATCGCTCAAAACGCTTGAACTTCCTGGATAGTTTCCTCCTCCGATATTTTGGGATACGCCACCATTAAGAAACGGATTATTGGTACCTATCGGTTGTCCTCCGGCGATGGCACCAGCTCCAGCATTTGCGTTAGCATTAGCACCGACGTTGCCACTGGAATGCCCGTCGGGATACAGAAAAGGATTATTACTGCCAATTGGATTTTCATGTCCTGATGATTCTATTGGGTAGCTGCCACCTTGTTGATGTCCGCCTTGTTGATATCCTCCTGATTGATATCCGCCTTGCTGATATTCACCTTGTTGATATCCACCTTGCTGATATCCACCTTGTTGATAATTGTGTCCACCTCCGCCGTTTGCACTCGCACCTGCTTGAGCGTTAGCACTAGCGTGGGCATTAGCATTAGCGTTTGATCCAGCACCATTGGATAAAAACGGATTGTCTTTATATCCAGGATGGGTTCCTTGAATACCGCCATTTCCGCCACCAGCTGTAAAGAAATATTATAAAAAATTAGTTTTTTTATTGTATTTATATAACTAATAACATTACACATATATGATCTAACATATAAAAACATATCGTTACAAATACTAAATCTAAATTATCACATGACGAAAGTAACGAAGTTCATGCTCTCAGTCTCAGTCACGCATAATTTACGTCAGATTCTTAATTTCGTGTTTCTTCCAATTAAAATGCTTATCATGATAAGGAAAACAAGAAAAATGCATTATCAGCAGTGTCCTTGTTTCTTGTCATTATAGGAATGTTTTGTTAAAGAATGTACTGTGATTGTCAACCTTCACCTCGACTACAAATGTAAAACACAAATGTAAAAAAAATGTCTTCATTCTTAGTTTACATATCCTTGAATGCGACTTCCGTCCGATGTAAAATCTGTGCAAGATGCTTCAATTAGCGAAGCGAGAAATACATAGAATGAGGTACACATTAATCACATAAATGAGGTATATCATACAATGAGATATATATATATATACAAAGAAACAGATGATTTACAATATTTTGTGACCATTGGAATTGTTATCCAATTCCAAATCTGTGTCACTAGTTAATTATTAAAACATTGTAGCATGTATGATAAAATTACCTATATAGAGAGTAATATATAGAAAGTAACAGCGAGGCGATTAATTATGACATTACTTTCGTGAAAAATTACATAAAAACATAGTGCAGAAAATTCATAGAGCTGCCACCAGTTAGTGCATTAGAATCTCAACGATAATTGCACGATTTTCGAATGTGCTCGATCATGAAGTGTCACCTGGATTAGGCCTTGACTCTTCAATGATGATGACCTCGATGGGCTGCTGTTTTGGTTTACCATAATGCGGTTGACGTTGGTGATGATGGCGATGGGGAGGACTCGGACGATGATACGGCGGATATTGCGGGGATTCCTCGACAACGACGATCACATTTCCCTTATTAGTTCCTTGCGGCCGGTGAGGTATCGAATAGACAGGCGAAGTTGGTTGAGAAAGCGGCAGTGTGTTTATGGGAATTACTTCTATTTTATCTATTCCTCCGCCAGGATACTTGTTGGGAATCACATTCACGCCGCCACTACCTAAGATGTTAGCACCCGCGTTCGCATTTGCATTAGTGTTAGCGTTAGCACTGGACTGAGAGCCACCATAATTTCCGTAATTTGGTTGACTGGCTTGATGAGAAACGCCAGGGTAATAACCGCTGTTCCCATTAGTGTTAGCATTGTCGATGGCTTGGGGTCTAGAAGGATAATAAGAGGGACCAACAGAATACCCTCCGCCATTGGCATTGGTATTCGCGTTCGAATTAGCGTTAGCACTGGACTGAGAGCCACCATAACTTCCGTAATTTGGTTGACTGACTTGATGAGAAACGCCAGGGTAATAACCGCTATTTCCACCATTATTGCCAACATACCCCTCAGGATTTCCCGAAGAACCTATGTTAAAAACACGTCATTAACGTGTTAATGATAATAATAAAAGTGATAATAATAAAGATTAAAATTTAAACACAAATCTAAATAAGAAAACTTATTCTTAGAAAATAATAAAATATGGTAGAACTCCGTTCATCCATTTAACGAACAAATTTGGGTTCAATTTTAAATATACGAACTCATAGCTTAGCTATTCGAAACATTCGAATGAAAAGAACTCGACTTCAATTTTCTAAATGTCAACTTCTATGATTAAAACTAAATGTACTGATAAAGAAGAAAGCTAGTGAATCACTATTATCCAAATCATTCAGTTATCGAAACTATCTTGTCTCTTCACATATTCAGATAACCGGTGTTCTAATGTCTACAGACAGTTAAAAATGGAATTTGTTATTTTATCAAGATATCTTGCAGAAAAATGTTAAAAAGTCATATAACATCTTCAAGATATAAAAGCACGGGATAATATTTTAAAGATATTATGATAATTGTATACCTAAATAAAAAATATTTTAATATGACTAAAACATTGGAGACATGTTTCAAAGTACTCGAAAATGTTCACAATGCTTCACAACATTAAAAATTTTAGAATTTTTCATAAACTTTGATTATTGTTTGAGTTATTTTAATCGTCATAATATGTTATTTATCTCATGTGTTTTAAAAAAAATTTTAAACTAGAAATATGTTTTATGTATACCAGGTACACGAGCCCACCTTGTGCATTAGCATTAGCGGATGCTTGTGCATTTGCGTTCGAACCACCGTATCCTCCATATCCGTTAGCATGAGCATCAGCTTTGGCTGAAGCCGAAGCTAAACCACCGTTGCTGTTCGCCGACGCCTCAGCCGAAGCTGAGGAGAATCCACCACCGATACCGATAGGTCCTAAATTCACGTTTCCTCCCAAAGCCTGAACATTGCTGCTAGCGTGGGCATTGCTACCTTTAGGTCTGAATACTCCCAGTGGATCCAGCAATCTACCAACGTTCTGACCGATCAAATCGCCTAACACACCTTCACAAATAAAATATTAGAAGGTTATCGAAAGTACTGAATGAGATAACATTATTTACGACTACTTTTATTATTTTTCGTAATTTATTCTCTTTTTCACACACACATCTATCAATTCTTTCAAAAATTTATTAAATATCTCATAAGGTTAATAATGTATAAGTTTATAGGAAAAAATTGATAGTTAATTTATTTTCTTAACTTTGCGAAAGAAGCAGAAACCATTTTGGTATAACATAATTTTCTCAAATTAGACATTATATCATTATTACATAAATATTTGGAAATTAATCTGGCGCGCAATAATATTTCTTTCAATTAATCATAAATGAAAGGAAAAAAAATTTCCCTATAATTTAAAACTCACCAGGTCTCGCGGAGGAGTTCTTAATTAATAGCAGCACCACTACTGGCACTAAACACCTAAATAACTTCATGACGATTTCCACTTTCGCAAATAAATAATTTGCCTATCACACACAGTAATCCTCCTTGTTTTATCTGTTTTGCTGATATCTCGATGGTCAGAGAGTCAAGAGCGACTGAAGCTCTCGCACGAGGACAACATCTTATATACGACACACGCGTGGATTTTACGTCGAATAATAATTGACCCTCTCTTTCTCTCCTATTACGTTCTTCAGTATCATCGAGTGCCTCCGTTTAGGTTTTTCTATAATTTTTTATTTCTATGAAATCGACGCCGATCTCAAGAAACATTACGTTTTGGGAGTCTCATACTTTTACGTCAGTAACTAGTGCAATTTTAGAGTTAGATATAATCTTTATATTAAGTATCTGTGATTTTGGAAATAACTGGTAAAAACTGATTAAATAACAAAAATTTTGCTACTGTATTGTCATTCACAGAATCAGTTATCAAGGACCGCTTATTTCGATGAAGTATTTAACATATTTTCAATTTCGGATTATTCCTCTTTCTGTCTACTCAAAAATGATTAAACAGAAATAATCTATCTAATAAGAGGTGTGTGTTTTCGTTATTTTATATTAATTTTAATTAAAAAAACTATAAATGTATGTGAATAAAACTTTCAGAAAAGTATAGAGAAGAAGAAGAAAAAGAAGAGAAAGAGAATAGGAAGCAGGAAAGGATCGAGAGAAGCAATATAATAGAACAAGCTATTAGATTTATTTAAGTCAATTTTCTTTTATGATCAATTTAAAAATTACTTATCTAAAAATATAATTACAGATATTTTTATTAAGCAGGAATGTTTTATTTCTGACAGAACAAAGATATATTATTCTCAGCTCTTGGCTCTTACATAAACATAATAAATTTAATACAAGAAAAATATTGATACCCAAATAGCCTTAGCGACGTGGCAAAGTCATTTGCAGTTAAAATGACATCTCGCATGCACGTGCATGGTTTTCATTGAATTCTGTCTCCTTTTTATATCGATGACTACGATAATCAATATTCAAAGATAAATAATTGAAGACATTTTTCTACTTTATTTCGATGTTTTTATTTTAAACGATATGTGAAATCAAGTAAATCACATTTACTTTTCTATATCAATTTTTTAGACATTTCAATTATTTTAATAAATATGCAAGAGAAAATTAATATAAGCTGCGCTTATATAATTATACTATGCAAAAATTTATAAAATATGATTTTAATTTAAATACATTTTAACATTGTTTAAATAAGATGTTTTTTACAAATTATTATTTATTACGTTGATTTTTCTAAAAAAAGTATTTCGATGATGCAGCAAATAAACAATTTAGAAAAAATTTGGCTCATAAATACGGACAAGTGACAATCAAACGCAATAAATGAAAAATTATTGTTTTTCCCTCTATCTTTCTACAAAATTAGCATAAATGATTGCAACCAATATCTATACGTAGAAACACTTCTATACGTCTATCCATGTATCTAAAAAAAGATTGCAAATTATATACATGTAATGTAGCCATAATTGAGGAAAGTTGATAGATGTATTTATATTTTGACCGTATATTTGAAAAACTCAATTAATACTCTAATGTAACTGCCTATTACGGTCCGAGCTGGATCTTTGTTGCTTTAAATAATTCAATCTTGAATTACTAATATATCCTATATATGTACTTGCATATATACCATATTGTAGTCTTTTTCTAACTGCGCGTCGAATTGTTTTTCCGGACTAAATAAACGCAATTAAAACTACTCTAGTAATCGCGAATTAAATTGACAAGCAATTTTAATAATTTGATGCTACCATCAAGCATCATATATTATAAAGATGTTAATCTATAAAAACTGTTAATAAATTTATTGCGAAAAATATTACCTCGGCCGGGACTTGAACCCGGATCTCTTGTAAACCGTACGAGCGTCCTGAGCCATTAGACTACCGACAGTAATAGGCAGTTACATTAGAGTATTAAAGTTGATAGAATTAATAATATTAACAATTAATATTAATATTTTGTTATATCTTATATTGTTATATTTATATTCACTAAATGTTCATAAAAATCGAACTTAATAATTATTATTAGAATAACAATACGAGAAATGAAGATATAAAAATATGAAAAGTCAATTATTACGCAGGGGAAAACCAATGAATGTGTGTATGGCGGTAACGGACTGACGTTTTGAAATAAAGGAAATAAAAATTGCAGTCCTCGAAACACACTCTCCTTCGATCTGACGTACAAATTTTAATAGCTTCGGCGATGAGAATTTATATTAGGTCAAGGAAAGAGTGTAATACTAAGACGAAAAAAAGATATAAATTCTGTTCAAGTTTCTTTCAATTCAATATATTTTGTATAGTTATATCGTATACTTTATACATAAAATTCAAATATAATATTTAGTCAAGCCTTTCTGTAAAATATTTAATTTGTTAAAGTCAAATTAAATGTTTAATCCTATATCATGTTTAAACTGGTATGCTATTATTTTTAACAGTATTATTTTTTTTTATCAAATTAGAATCTTGAAAAAGGGTTTTTTAAAAGGGTTTTGCAAATATTTTATCAAAATTGTAAAATTATTAAGTGATCATATCATTTACATTTATTAGATACTTAGTTACCAGTTTTATTGCAAACTAATGATGTTTGGTCGATCAATCGACACTACGCAGTCATCGATTTGACTAGTCATATATTCGAAGCTATTTTGTAGAGTCTATCTTCAAGTGTCTTGCGAAACCTGTATCGTTCCGGTTCTTCAAGGTCAGGTTCAATGACTGGTCATCGAAGAATTAACAACTACTTATTGAAATCTTTGCGTATCTCCCAAAAATCGTAAAACTTATAAAATCATGACTTTCAATCAATAACAAAATATACGTTATATATATATCGTGTTTTAACTAACGTTATTATTGAAAACTGAAATTATTTATACCAATTTTATGAAAATATTAAAGAAAGAAGTATATCTTTTTTTTTATGGTGTTCAGTTATACTCGTCTGTATTTATGAATAAAATTGTTGAAATATACGTATGTTAATCGAAGTGAAATTTAAAATACATAATATAAAAAAATGTCATTACTCATAAACTCTAGTAATTTCTGAGAAAGAAGAGTAAACAAAACAATAAGATAATGTAAGAATTTTTTAATGTACTAAATTCGTTATCAAATAATATACGTAACTTTCTTACATAATTAATTCTAAATTTCCCTGTTTTAGAAAAGGGGAATCCATTGATTGTAAATTAAAAACAGTGTTTCTCAGAATTAGTTGAATAATCAAACGGAGCTCGATCTTATTCCAAGTATACTCGCAAGTGACCAGAAAATAAACAATTACCTATGACGATAATATGTTGGCCTCGTCGTTAATCATAAGCACAGATATTCGTATGCATAATGACCACCCGATCTCAACTTTGCGATAGTATTTCGTTATTTCCATCTGCGTCATCATAATGACGAATGATGAAGAATATTTGATTCCTGAGTGTGAATTTATCTTGGGCTTATAACTTTCTAAATCTTTAAGTTGCAATTTCATATTAACTAGTCTATGAGACCAGTCATGCATATTATCAACAATTGGAGAATCCCCATAATATAGCCAAGGTAAACTTGTTATTAATTTTTTTACATTTTACCATAAATTAGGCATACAAACATTTACAAAATGTTAACAGTATACGTTTATACTATAAATTGTACATAATGACAATTATTTTGTTGATAAAAATTAAATAAAAAGTCGAAAAATTTATTTACAAGAAACTTCTTCATTGATAATTTAATTAGTATTATTTGATGCTAAGAAAGATACATGATTCAAGAAAGCAATGATTCGATAAATGCCGTAAAATGAATAAGTAAAAATCAAATAAATGGAGACAAAAATCAATATTACGTATAATGAATACAAAATAAAAATCTCGAGTATTTCTAATGATTCATTTATTACGGTGCAGCTTAACAAAACAAAATTTGGTGTCAGTTAGGAAAATCCAACCGCTTACGTGCTTTAACTGCGATATCATCGGTATTCACTATACTTGACAATATACAACGAACAATGACGTAACTCATATATTCCGTTCGTGGGCAGCGAACTATTAATCATCCATTGTTTAGAATTAAGTTGTTACTAATGTCATCGGCATATACAAAGATTACAGTATATACTATATAGCGTATCATATATTATATTCTATTTCAATCTACATGCTAATTCATTTCTAAAATTAATTTAAAGATATATATATATATATATATACACACACACAGGGTGTTAAAAAACCATTTAGCATTTATATGATAGATAGTATACCATACTGAATTGTGAGTAAAAAAGCCTTATAGTGATTAAACATAGATTTAATATTTAACCGTTTCTAAGATAGAAACAATTTTATATATTAATGTTATAATTGATTTATTGTCTCTCTTCTTTTACTTGTTGCATATGATGTAAAAAGAGAGAAATTGAGATAATTAGTACTAATAGCCTATTTAGGAGTATTACAGATCCAAGAGATGATCTTCCATAATATATAAAAGACAGTACGACACTCGAAGAAAAAGTGTTATGCTAATAATTTATCGCAATTCTAGCGATATTTCTCATTAATACTAATAGAGATCTATACTCTACAATTATTTTTAATCAAAGTTCCGGCTGCAATTTTTTTAATTTTGATTTTTTAGTATAAATATACGGAATTCTTTTTTATTTTTATAAGGAACTGTAGATTCTCTCTCTCTCTCTCTCTCTCTCTCTCTCTCTCTCTCTCTCTCTCTCTCTCTCTCTCTCTGAAAAATATTTCTGAAACTTTTATTATTTCTTTTATACCCAAAAGTCGGATCTGCGAAGTTAGCACGACAGTCTATTAATTTATAAAAAAAGATAACAGTTTTAGTAGCACTTTTTATAGTTTTATCGTTCCTTATAAAAATAAAAAAAGTTTCGCAATTTTTATACTAAAAAACGAAAATTGAAAATATGGAGTATTAACTTCGCGGATTTAACATGATACTCTAAAATATGAGAAAAAAGTAAATATTTTCACTTTTAGCTAC